TAGAAGGAAGGTTTGAAGGCTAATTGAAATTGTGAAGGTTTTTGTGAAGGTTTGTGCATGTGATGAGATGGAGAAAAGAAGGGGAAAAAAGAAAAGGAAAGGAAAGGAAAGGAAAGGAAAGGAAAGGAAAGGAAAGGAAAGGAAAGGAAAGGAAAGGAAAGGAAAGGAAAGGAAAGGAAAGGAAAGGAAAGATAAAGTAAGGTACTCTCAGCAAGAAAGTGAGGCTTCAGTCTCCAAACCTGGCAGGACAAGGTTGCTGGACACTTCTTAAGCTAAACCAGAATATTCAGTTTCTAACCTCTTATCCAACCATCCAGGTCCCTAGCTTTCACTACTCCTTTCCTTCCCCTTCCCCTCCCACTTTCACTGCAACACAGTCTCAATCACTCATCTGTCACCTCTTAGCACCAAGGTGACTACTCTCTCAGCTTGGAGTGTGGAACTAGAAAAAGAAATCTCATAATCCACCTCTTCTCCTTACGCCTATCAGCTTGTCTCCATCATCAGGGATTTTTCTTCCTCTGTGGGGAAAACTCATACATCTGTCTCCCCATCAGCTGGACAGGAACCTGGACTCTCATCTATCTCTCACCAAACGTAGATGCAGCCTCAATAATCAGTCTTTACCTGTCCCCCTATCCATCATATCTGACACAAAAGAGGAGTCCAGATTATCCCTCTGCTTCTAACTCTTGACATCATAGCAGGAGTTGGAACTGCCATAGGGAGCTTAACCACTGCTTTGAAACCCTGTCTCGGGAACTACAAGAAACATGTGGATGCCTAGCAAGGGACAAAACTGGAAAAACAAGAACCTACTTCCAATGTGTAACCTATTCTCCCCTTTCATATCACTAGTGAGGCAATTAAGACCCCTACTCTTTTCTCCCTAAAAGTAACATCTGGGTCTCAGTTATCTTTCAGCTCTAGATCTGTCTCCCACTCACCTGGATAATCCTGCCCCTGGGGTTCAGAGACAGTCATCTGTTTGGCCAGGCTTTACCCAGAGACCTCCAAGAATGCTTGTTAGAACCCAGCACTACGCGTCTCAGAGGCATACAGCTGGCCTCCACTGGTAGAATTTTTCTATCATTGGATCCCACATTTTTCTCTCCTAGCTAAGCCCTTATACCAGGGCTCCTCACCCTCCCTCGTTCACCAAGCTTTTTCTAACTCCAGGACACCCCTCTCGAGCCCCCCCCTCCCTCTCTCTCTCTCTCTCTCTCTCTCTCTCTCTCTCTCTCTATATATATATATATATATATATATATATATATATATATTCGCAGCTCCTAGCTGGACCTTCTGCCCATGGTTCTGAATGGAATCCGGGCTACACCAAGGAGCCCCATCTTTTTACCTCCCCAAGAATCTTACCCCCCAGATTGTATTTCATCTCTAAGCGCAGAAAAGCAGGAAAACCAGACAAGTGATGCTGTGGCAGCCTCAGGACCAGCTTTTACCTCCCAAGTGATTCAACAGGATCACTCTCAAGACTTCACTAACCAGTCTCTTGGAGAAATCATGCTGCTGCACACCTCTCGACCAGCACAGAAAAACTACCTGTTTTTTGCTCAGGTACCCAATGGCTCCTCCCATTATTAGGCCCACTGGTATTTATACTCTTAATTTTGCTCTTTGGCACCTGTCTCATGCACTGTTTTACTAGTCTCTTACAGAACAGAATGCAGGTGTTCTCCAACCAGAAGGTGGGAGAGATCTATCTGGCACTGAATTCATAACTGAACACCAGAATCTTTGAGACTCTGGGTAGATGCCCCTAAAAGACGACACCCCTTCACAGCTGGAAGTAGCTACGGAATACTGACCTTTGCCCCCTGACCTTGCCCAGATTCTCAATTTTTTTAAAAAATATTACCAGCAGCCTAGAATGATAGGTCCTCCCTTCCTCCAGTTGATGGACAGACGTAAACCCCACCTGCGGCCAGACAATCCTGAGCACTAAACTACTAATCAGCACCTGACAAATACCTTAAGCCCTCAATCCTAAATCCCTAGGTCCCTAATCACCAATCAGTGTGTGCTGAGTGCCCTAAGCCCCACCCCCTATCCTTAAAGGTACTTGTAACCTAGCCCTTGCTCTCTTCTGCTCTTCTCCGTGGAAGCAGCTGGCAGTGGTACCCTTCCCTCCAATAAAGCCTGTGTGTGTCCTGCCATCCTGGTCTCTGGTTACCTTCTCTATTTAATCTATCAGAGAAGATAGGAAGAAACACAAGATTGGGAAGACAAAGTGAATATATGACATGAAATGTGCAAAGAAAGAGCAAGTTGTAAATAAGGTCCCTCAAGCTGTGAGGCAAAGTTTCCACTAATATTTGTAGATAGTAGGCTGAGGTACCCAAGATTCATACTTTTTAATACTTCAAGGTCATAAGGTCTTAAACAGGCTAGTTCAGACAAACAATGTTACTTTGTGTGTCAGACTGCCAATTACCTGCCAAAATCCATTCTCATCTTTTAACCCATAATAGTAGCCCTGATTTTTTTTTAGTTGGCACATTTCCATTCCACTAAAATATAACATATCCTAGGTCTCCCTTACAGTTAGGTATAATCATAAGACAGGTTTCTGGCTATCTATACTAATAAAATCCTAGGTGGCCCTCGCCCTCACATTATCACAAGATGGCTGCCCCACATAATCACAAGATGGCCCCAACAAGATGGCCACCACAAGATGGCTGTCAGAGGAGGGCAGTTGGGGGCTATCAGGATGGCAGGGGAGTGCTCAGGGGGTGATCAGGCAGGCAGGTAGACAGGGGGGTTAGGGGCGATCAGGAAGGTAGGCAGGCAAGTGGTTAGGAGCCAGCAGTCCTAGATTGCAAGAGATAGTTCAACATCCCCCTAGGAGTCCCAGATTAGAAATGATACAGTCTGAGTTGAGGGATACCGCCCTCCCCCAGTGCACAAATTACGTGCACTGGGCCTCTAGTTAAAATATAAGTAATACATGAAACTTCAAAGAAGTCTCATAAAGGTATGGAATGAACCTTTCTTTGCCTTTTCTATGCTACTTTCTTGGAATGTAAATGAGGGTTGAAGTTCCAAAATCCATTTTGGACCATGAAGCAAAGGCCATATTCAGGGGAGGGGGCTGGAGAAGAGAACAGAAAGCTGGAAGGAACCTGGGCCAGGACACTGAGGCATCTTGAGGCCTAAACTATCAATTTCCAGAATTCTTTAATACAAATAAATAAAATTCCATTTTAGCCAATTGCAAATAGAATTAAGTGCATATCTCTGCACTAGTGTACCTCCATGATCTATTTCTAGACTATTTTTTCAGTGTTATTTGATCACCTTGTCAATTCTTTCTGCTTTTATCATTCAGACTCTGTTGTATTTGCTATTCCCTAAATACCGATCCCCCATCATTATCCTGATTCCATAATTTTTCTCAATTGTTTTCTGAGTAGAAATCAGTATATCCTCAGTTTTCTGCCTTCCTACATATTCAAGTTTCATCACTGTTAAAAAACTATACTTACATTAAGATATAGAGGCGATGCGATTTACATGCCTAACCTCTTACTCCACTAATTACCAGTATTTCCTGAACTTACTTGATGATTCTTTTCCTCTTACTGTTTTATGTGTCTCTCTTGAAGGGGTGTGTCCAGGTTAGAAGGGTAATATTCCCAGGTACAAGCTAGTGGTTTCCCCTTCAATAGTCCACAAGAAACTTTTTCAGTTGGGGGAAACACGGGAGATGTTTATGTTACTTGCTCACAAAGCTAGATAACTGGAAGAAAATAAAATCAAAACTTGAGATCAAGCCTTCTAACATCTCCTGTGTTCTTCCCACTATTCCATATTCACTTCTCTCTGAATTAGCTAATAAAAGGCCTTCCTGAGGAATCCACCTCTTTCTTGTTTTGCTTGGTAAGTACTGTAGCTTCTGTTTTAATGATTTAATTGGAATTTGAATGCCTTAATGGGAACTGCATTGTTGAGTCCTCCAGAGTCCCCACCAATTCCGGTCTAACTCCAGGTAGTTTCCTAGATTTAAATCACCCTCTTGATCCTTCAGGCTTGTGAGTTTTTGACCCCTAAAGTCCTGTTTTGGAATTTTATCTCCAGAGTCAGGAAGGCTGGGTTGAAGTCACAGCTAGTTCACCCACTAGTCTTACTGTAAGAATTTGATTTTTTAAGGATTAAACTTTCTCTTTTACTAAAACAAAGAGAACTTTACCCTTTTCCCTTTTCTTAAAGAATTTTCTTGAGTGAATTTGTAACCATAAATCCTTCCACTGTCCCTTTTATAAGTCTATAGTTGCCTTGCTCAAAGTTGTAAGGACCTGCTTGTCATAGATATAGAAAAGTTTTAATTTTTACTCTTGATTATGGCAATTAACTAACACAGATGGCCACCAAAAAGGTGCCTGACCAAAGGGTGTATAGCAAATGGTGAACAACCTGCACGTCTTCCGTGAAAACCTGCAGGTTGTGCACTGTATCTGCCTGGCTACATAAAAAAGTCACGTTTCTGTCTGTCTTTGCAATCATATGGGGGAATTGTGTGAAACGCCTAGTCTGGTTTGGTGATCACAGAATAATAGCGCTCTTTTTTCTTTTTTCTTTGCTCCATTGGTGGAGATTTCTTAGAAATTGCAGGGTATCTTCCTTTTAATGTTCCCTTGACACTGACTTATGTCTCTCACCTTTGCTTTCCCTCCATCCCCAACCCGCAGCAGTAACTTGCTCCAGGTTCACTTTGCTCCAGTGCCTAGGAGCTTAATCACAGGGAACAACCACCGCCTGTAATTATTGGAATCAAGAGTCTAAGATTTCGCAGCACCATCCGCACCAGAACTACGATTCCCAGCATTCCTGGTGCTCCCCGCGCTCGGCTTCCGCTTCCGGTCCAAGGGGCGCAGAAACTGAAAGTACCGTGTTTTTAGGCGCCCCACTGAGATTGATTCACCTTCACCTGTGCGAGACCTAGTTGACCAGGTGGGAAACCTGACAGGCAGTAAAATATGAACGGAAGAGTGGATTATTTGGTCACTGAGGAAGAGATCAATCTTACCCGAGGACCCTCAGGTACGTTCGGAATTGGGCATCTTTGGGAGTAGGGTCCTTGAAGTGTGATTGCAAAGCAGGCACGCACCTCTTCTTCTGAGCCAGATATTTTTGGACTCAGAGCTGGCAGGCCCCAACCTAGAGGTTTCCTGCCACGCTTTTGAGCATGTAGAACAATATTTTGGCATCCGTCGTTAGCCAGACAAGGACCTGAGGAATCCGTCTCGTTTTTTTATTTTTTATTTTTGAGTTGGATTACCATCTTTATTATAGTCAGGACAGGTTTCTTTCTGCTAACGGTACCAGAAAATCCTGGGAGAAAGCCTGCTTTTTAACCAGCACACAATGAACAGCACACCCCTCCTCTCATTGCCTGGTCCATACCTGTTTCTACGAGAGACTTTTAAACATGGAATTATAAACGGTGTATTCTGTAAATGCACAGCCGTTTTCTTGGTGCTAATTTTCCTCCCTTTCCTCTTTCTGGGAAAGTCATTTTGTATAAAGTTAAATTTTAAAGCAGAAAGAAAACTTAGCGATCCATTACAGAAGTTCCCAAACCTGGTTCTGCCTCAAAATTAAGAAAGAAAGAAAAAGTTAATTATTAGGTCCGGTCTCCAGGAATTTGGATTCAAAGCAGGTATTTTATCATTTGTGTGTGTGTGTGTGTGTGTGTGTGTGTGTGTGTGTGTGTGTGTGTGTGTGTTTAAACAAGACATGCTTCTGGAGTGCCAACTATTTTCTGTTTCTTGACATGGATAATGGTTCCCTGATTCTGATACCGTTCAAATCTTCATTTACCCACAGCCCTCTTCCCCCTGATGCTCTTCACTCATGGGGCTGCTACCATGACTGCATGCTGCCTGTCTCGAATTTTGTTCCCTTACACCTGTCTAGTGGATGGATTTAGGAGCTTTAGCTATGGGATTATGTAGGTCTCAATCTGGCATCTGATTTCCTCCTAGTTCTTTGATATTTATTCTCTGACCCATTTGACTGATGTAAGCCTTAGTTTCTCCTCTGTAAAATGTGCATAATAGAATACACTTCATAGGGTCATGAGAATGAAATAAATTCAACTATGTAATACTTTTAGAATATTTCACACCACATGGTTAGCACTAGGTAAGAATCGGCTATTACTGTTGTTACTGTTATTAGATGAATGGCAAGATGAACATAGTAAATCCCACTAAATACTGTTATTCCAAGAGTCTCCAATAAGTCATTAAATACCATGAACTCCATCTCCAAAATGTTTCTGTGAGCCTTCCACTCTTTTCTGTTTTACCTAGAACGGTCCATAATCTTCTCTCACATGGAATTTTGTAATAGCCTGACTACCCTTTTTAAATTTTCCCCCATAACATATGGCTCTCAGAATCATTCATATTTTGCCTTCTTTCTTATTATAAAAAAATGGTGGGAAGGTGGCTTTACTTATCAGAATATAACTCATGGCTTATCTGCGTGGTTTAGTGTCATGTGCCATATGAGCTCCTAAACCTTTATCAAAGGCTCTTATGCCCAAGTTTCTTAGGTTCTCTTTTCCTGTTTTACATAAATATCTCTTTTCACCTTCAAGGAGCTAACTTTGAAGCTAACATAGAAAAATTATTAAACCAAAATTTATCCTTTTTTGTTGTTCATTTAAAAAAATATGTTTCTATTGACTTTACAGAGAGGAAGGAAGAGGAAGAGAGAGAAATAGTTATCGCCTACCTCCTGCATGCCCCCTCCTTGGGACCAAGCCTGAAACCTGGGCATGTTCCCTGACTGGGAATCAAACCAGCAGCCTCCTGTTGCACGGGATGCTCAACCAAGTGAGCTGCAGTGGCAGGGCTGTTTTTATGTTTTTCATCCATTGATACTTGTTCTTTCCATAGGGCCCATTAAAAACAATGGTAGTTCCTTTTCTGATTGCCCTGCAAAGATTTAAAAGCATCCTGTTTCTGTTTTGTCTCTTCCTGCTGCTCTAACCTCCTTTTGATCTCTTGTGATGTGGTTTGAGGTTTTCTTCTAGTCTCTTAGGAATTTAATGTACTTTGACATAGTCCTTTGGCTGTGGCATCCAATATTTTCAGGATCTCCTTATTAAAGGAGAGCAGAACTCTGATCTTCCATGTTCTAGTCACTAAATATTTTTAAAGTTCAGTATAGTATCACTTTACCTTTTTTGGTATTTGCCTAACAATGTTGCTTGATGTTTAGCTCAAATTCACTAAAATTCCGTGTTGATCTTATAGATGTTAGCATTTTTTTTCCTGAATCATTGCAGTTAGGACAAACTTCAAGGGACTAATTAAGAAGAATAACTATATCTAGCTAATATATTTCCCCCAAAAGGGGTTTAATTTCTATACTATATGTGTATTTATTCACCTGGTAGCTTCTTTAAGTAGGTTCATGTCATACTCACGTAAGTTGATAAACAAGAGAATAGAGCCACAAATTTTGTATTGAACTTAGATGAAAACAATCATTTGAAGTTTTGGTGGCTCAGTTAATAAGAAAAGATATCAGACTTCTGTTATTACCTCCCGGAGTTCCTTACTTGGTATATGGTATTCCTAAGAAGTCTCACAGTCTAATTCAGCTTTTTTTTTTTTTTTTTTTTTCACTGTATCATCATGCAAATACATTAGGAAGAAGTCAGTTATCACCACTGGAAACTTCCAGTGATTTTGGTAGTTCCCATAGGGACCTTTCTTTCTATAGAAGAACTATGAAAAGCCTCTAGTTCTCAGTATGCATTTCTATTTGTGGATACGATTGTCATTCTTTGTGTACAACTTCCTATGCAGGAACTTGATAATTTAATCAGGTAACTGTAAGAATGTACACTGACTGGCCAGGTTATTATGATCTCTGAACACATAATAATCTGACCACTCAGTGTATATCCTATATAATAAAAGGCTAATATGCAAATTGTCCCCTCAACCAGGAGTTTGACCAGCAGGCAGGCCGGCCAACCGCCCATGTCCTCTCCCCCTGGCCGGGCTGGCTGGACCCTACCCATGCATGAATTCACGCACCGGGCCTCTAATTATTTATTTATATATAATATATATTGAGAGGCCATATTATTATGCTTTCAGAGATCATAATAATCTGGCCACTCAGTGTATATATCTTTGCTTTTTATGTTGCCAATGTTCTGTCAGGGGCAAACGTCTTGGATACTTCCAGTGTTTGGGTCCAATTTGCAAGGCTGATGAACTGTTCTGTCTGATCTTGGTTATTTTAAAGGAAATAATGAAATCTTAGGAAAATTAAAACAATGAGGTATCTGGGGAGGCAAAAAAAAGCTTGGCATGCAGTTTGGCTTCTCTCCTATTCCAGCTTCCTCCACTGTGTAAGGAGAGGCTTAGGTCAGATGACTTTGCACATTTTTTCCACTTCCAAGAGTTCAGGATTCTTGGGTCATTTCACATATTCTTTTATGATTCCTGCTATTTTGGACTACAGTGGGTGCTTGAAGAATTGTCAAAGACAATGGTCACAGTCTCAAATGTCTTTAAGGGCTTGAAGAGTTCACCTTTTATGATTTATGGAACACTATCAGTTTTCTTTCTATGGTAGTCTAGTTTGATTAAGTCTTTAAGCCTTCTACTTGTTCCTTTATCAAATGGGGATAAAAAAGGGAGAGATCAACCAAAGGACTAATGTGCACACATATGAGCCTAACCAGTGGTCAAGGACAATAGGGGGTGGGGGCATCAATGGGGGGTGGGAGGTTGGAATGGGGGGATGAGGACAAATATGTGATACTTTAACCAATAAAGAAATTAATAAAAAAATAAAAAAATTGAGCATTCTTAATGTTGGAAAGACTCTTAACTCTAAGAAGTATGATTAGAATCTAATCTTGCTTCCCCCCACTGCAACCCCCCACTGAAACAGGTAGAGATTGGTCATAAAGACAGCCCTATTGTATATTGGGTATTAGGATTAGGATTCCTTGTTCAGGGCTGAGTCTCAATGGGTTTCAGTAAGTTGCTCCTGAGATATCTTGAAAGAGTGGGAAAAGATCTCTCTTTCTCTAGTCTCTTAAAAGGAGTTGCAGGGATAAATGGGTTGGTGTAATGTTTTAATACTGAATAATTAAGCTAATATCTTTTTGTTACTGTGCTAGTTACTTTATATATGTATTAACTCATTTGATTTTTACAGCAAACTTGAGTGGTAAGTGAATAATCCACATTAAGGATAAGTGATTAATCCACATTAAGTATTTGCCCAAGTTCTAAAGCCAGTGAGTTTCAAGAGCTAGGAATTTAACCCACATCTCTTGAGTCTACTGTTTCATATGCTACATCCCAGTAGAGAAGCCATGTGTAGAGAGTTGACTCCACTCATTCTTCTGACCTTTATTTTATAATATCATGCCTTATTCCCAAAGGATTTGAGGCATCTTAAATGACTTACACAATCCACAGTGGAAAGTTTTTATAGTTTGGTGTTGACAGAGCCAGGGCACGTCAAGGTGAGAACCTAAAAACAAGAAAACTCATTAAGTCCAAGCACTTAAGCCTCTAATGTGCTTCTGTTTAACCTGAGACAGTGCTAACAGTTTTATGACCTATTCCTTCATGTACCAATTAGATCTGAGACTGAAATGCTATATCTTTGTTGTATTTTCTATTGATTACATGGAAGTCTAGCCCTCATGGAAATTACATAGTTGGCATTCTCATGTAAAAAGTTAAATCTCTGTGCAAAGGTGCAGATGGTTATGGATTATGACCTGCATATATGTAATGGGATAGGGGAATGTATTCATCTGATCCTGTGATAGAAAAGTTTAAAGAATGGAGTTGTTGATAAGGGCCAGATTGACCAATTACAAGAAGATAGAGCTTACGTTTATTTTGTAGATTGACTTTAGGCTCATGTGAGGAACAGGGATGGGTATGGCCTAAGCAATAATAGAGAAAATAAAATAAGTTAAGCATATTCTGAACTCAGTGAGTAAACCAGACTAGATAGAAGGAGAGTTAAGGGAGATGAGGTTGTTA